TTTCTTTTGTTCGTTCACGACGCGCAACAGCTTGATCACTTAACATTTTCGATCGTTGTACTTCTGCTTTCTTCTTGTGAATAAATTCCATTAGTACACGTTTGTTTTTAAATACATTACCCTTGCATTTTAAATAGAGTTCATGATATCTAAATTAGAAAAGTAAATGTAATTACGATTGATATTGATGTATGATACATACAAATGGCGGTCAATCTTTTTTGCAGCACGATATTTTTTTAGTAAACGACGTAGTACACGCATACGACGCATCCATAACACCTAGAAATAGAAACAATTATAAAATGTTTCAGAGAAACGCTTAAAGATGAACTTTTTCAAATAAACAATAAAGATGAGTAGCTTAAGCATTTTTCAAGACCATACACATAGTTAATTCAGTTCTACTTAACTCAAGTTTATCGCTAAGGCAGCATACAGAAATTTATTTACAAATACACTGAACTCAATTAGCACCGTAACCAAATCTGTATTTGATTTAAAACTTGTCTATATGAAAGAAAAGAGAACCGACTATAAAACTTACTTTCGTCGGCATACGGGCATTTGCAGTACCCTTTCGTTTACCATGACCCATGTGACGACCTTTACGTCTTGCTTCATTATTTTTTCTTGTACGAAATCGTGAATGTACAGCAACTGGTTTTTTGATGATTAAACCATCTTTAATTAATTTTCGTACACTTTGACCTACAAAATCAACACAGAACAACACAATTAATTCTTTTCGAGATAGCAATGCAAATGTGATGTTTTAGCATGGATATCTTAAAGTTACTATTAGATGTGTTAGTACACTGCCATGGGCACAATTGCACATATGAAGTGGTAAATGCATATAATACACATACTATATCTTACATCTCTCCAGTATATCAAACTTAGTAGGATTCACAACTTGTTTTTCTAATTACGTACGTGTATTTGCATTCGATATTTCGTTTGCTTCGTTTGGATCAAGCCAAATTTTTTTGTTACCACATTTGAGAATTGATGAGGCAAGTCGTTTCTGCACTCGAAGAGAACTATAAGTAATAAAAAGAAGAACCATTTGTTATACTGAGAAATTGTTACATATGATATTGTTCATCCTGTCTTATACATGGGAATTACAATCTAAATTTATCTCGGTAATATTTCATAATACATGTTCAAAGTCATCAGATACAAAAAAAATCATCTCGCTCATGTTTTACAGCGCACGTCATAACTTTCTAAGCACATAGATCAACTTCATTTTTGACTCGTATCTACAAGAAATGAGTCACTAATTCGATGGCCACTAAAAAGATGATTTCAGTTGAAGACCATGGTTTCAATCGGCTTCCAGTGAACCTTCTTAAAATTCTGAAGATGTCCTCGTAGTTTGTTACTATGAGGCTGGAGAGCAATTTAAAATTTAGAGATGAATGGTCACCGATCCATATTTATCGATCATTCGATCACGGGTAATCTTTACAAAACTCGACTTGAAGTCACTATGAACAGTTGATTCAGCAAAATCAAACACGTTTAAAGAAGTAGAATCATCAGATTGCGATAATTACCTCATCTTTAACCAAAGAACGTTCAACTATATAGATGATGTTTAGTAAATAGCGCAGTTTCATAATAATTTCATACGAAGGTAAATAAAATCAATGGATTTTTAGTAACAGAATTGGTAAATTCTGGATCGGCACCTTAATAATGAGGACTTTTCTTCTTTAATTTCGAATACAAGCCAAAAACATATATTAAATTGAAGAAATAAACTGAGTTAATTAATACGATTTGGAAAAAATATCTTTTTCCACAGATTTTTCAGTTTTTTGATTATACTTTTCCTTCATTGGTTCTAAATTCTTCCGCTCCTGGACGATTTGTCACGTGCCAAACCATACATACAGAACAGGAAAAAACGACATGCATACTACTATGGCGCACCTACTTTGTACTGTTTGACATACCAATAATGATTCCGTATTTCTTATCTTTATTTATTAAATTTTGTATACTCATACGTTATAAACCTCAATTATTTTTGTTGTTGTTTCGATTTTCATACAATATTTTACTACTTATGTATTCAAATATCTATGTTTCTTCATTATTTCAGATCATCATTATGACAACAAAAGCTGAAGACAATATTAGCTTAGTACTTCACAAGATCGATGATCTCCGTTTAGTACGTTTTTACCCCAAAACAATCGACATTTTCCGAAATATAACTGTATTCATAATTTAGGAATCCACACCTATCCATGAACCAAAAGATGGGGGTTAGTTCAAAATAAATAACTCATTCATCAAATATGTCATTAATTCTGTTTTTTAGAAGTACTAATTGAAATGCAAGCTGTTGGTATCTGCGGAAGCGATGTTCACTATTGGAAGAGAGGTTGTATTGGAGATTTTGTTGTACGAGCTCCAATGATACTAGGCCATGAAAGTGCAGGAAAAGTTGTCAAATTAGGCCCGAATGTGAAACATTTGAAAGAAGGTAACTCTGCTACTTTCAAGTAAAGCAATTTTTAGACCAAATAACTTTATGAATCTTCGATACACTATTGTATTTTGTCGTCTGTCTATAGGTGATCGTGTCACAATTGAACCTGGTGTTCCGTGCAGACGATGTGATTTTTGTAAATCTGGTCGATACAATCTTTGTGCTGATGTCCAGTTTTTAGCGACCCCACCAGTTCACGGAAGCATCTCGAAATATCATACACACGCAGCTGATTTCTGTTTCAAGTAAGTCGCTAGTTAAATTTTAATCATGTATACAAACAAGAATATTTCATCCTTTTCATTTCGTTAACTTAGATTGCCTGATCATGTTTCCTATGAAGAAGGAGCGTTTTGTGAACCTTTAGGAGTTGGAGTTCATGCTTGTCGACGAGCGGGCGTAACAGTTGGATCAAAAGTTTTTATTACTGGTGCTGGTAAGCTATTTATTTCAACTTTAATTTCATATTAATGCAACAAAGGATTGTAATTAAAATAGGTCCCATCGGTTTGGTTTCTATGTTGGCGGCAAAAGCCATGGGTGCTGATATAGTTGTAATGACTGGTAACACAAACTTGTAAAGACTAATAGATGACCTATGAAATCACTCATTTCTTTTTCTTTAGATATAAGTCAATCACGTCTGGATTTTGCAAAAAGTATGGGTGCTGATTCGGTATTTCTAGCTGATAATGATCCACAAAAAACAGCAAAAATTATTGAACAGAAGTTTGGTTGTATGCCAAATATCTCAATCGAATGTACTGGTGCAGAGTCGTGTATTCAAAGTGTAATCTATGTAAGATCAATTTTGATCATTTTTTACTATCAAATATTGTGTATTCTCGTATTGTTTTTCTCCAGGGAACAGCATCTGGAGGTGTTATTGTGTATGTATTTCATTGGACACTAAGTTAGTTTATTGCTAAGTATTTTGTTTTTCGAAAATTAGTCTAGTTGGTTTGGGAAAACCTTTGGCTCAACTACCTGTCGTAAATGCGGCAGTGAGAGAAGTTGATATTCGTGGTGTATTCCGTTATGTTAACTGGTAAGTTGTGCAACACTATTGATAATTCATTTAGTATTGAGTATTATTTTATTAAATAGCTATCCGGCTGCCTTGAGTTTAATAGCTAGCGGTCGAATTCAAGTGAAACCATTAATCACGCATCGTTTCGATTTACAAGAAGCAGTTAAAGCGTAAGTTAGCGTTCATCCTGATGAAATGTGTAAAATGAACTTGTTTCTTTTCGTCAAGATTCGAAATGGCTGAATCTGGAGAAGCAATCAAAGTTATGATCCATTGTGGACGTGATGCTAAAGACTAAATGGAATTTTTGAAATTCAGATGGGATTTTTAGACGATAGTGGCTATTATTTATTTTTTATTTATTAAAGAATGTTAGCAGTTAGAATTGTACTTTTATTCTTTGCATAGTTATTTCTTTTTCGATCGTGATTTTTTAAATTTTTATTTGATTGATTAACTTAAATGGGTACTGATCGGTGAATGTTCTGATAGATACGTTTTGCTTATTATACTATTTTCATGCTCAAAACAATTAAAAGAATAAACACACCATAAGTCATTATTCAACTAACTATATACCACAAATAGTTTTCCTCTTTGAATAAAGTACATTCATTTAAAGTACTTTTATAACGTAACACAAAAATAACATAGTGTTCGATTATGGACTTGGCATTTTTAGTCTAAAAAAGCGAAGAAATTTTTTTTTCCATTGACATATTTCGATGCTAATACCACAGATTAAGAATGATATCAATAATAACTGTATATTTAAAAAATAATGTTTTAGTACATCAAATATTATTTTATTACTTTAAATTTTCGTTCACTGGTCTATACTCAACGGTAATTTACTCTTTTTGTTCACTTGATAAACGGTTCTGTAGTTGGATAAATAAACATAAGTTCTGCAAGTTATTTTTCATCACTATTTCACGTCTAAACAAATCGAAATTGATAAATATAGGTTTCTCATAGCACTGTTTGATTAAATATATACGTTACTAATATGAGGTGTTGTTTAACGATCACGGGCAATTTAATTATTGTCAGTTTTTCTTCCCTTGTTTCATCCGATGCATTGTTTTAAGGGCTTCGTTTAACATTATAACATGATGAAAAATCAGAATTTAACAATTTTATAGAAAAAAAAGATCACATGAAAATATTCACTCAAAAGTTATAAAACTAGTTTCGAAACAAAAAAATGAATACACAAGAAGAGACATGAAAATACATAACAAAAACAACACATTTTTTCTTGAATAAAAATCAAGATTATAACAACAAGTAATAACGACTAGTTAAGCCATTTAAACAAACACAAAAAGAGTAACAAAATAAGAAAACATATACAAAAGATTTTCTAAGTTGAAAAGTTACCAACTGTTGGTTGGGAAGGTTGAAAATGAGAGACGAGTTCAAGTACTGTTGGATAAATCGAACATTCATCTAAAGGAAGAAAAAAATTGTCATAAAATTTTCACTATAGATAAATAATGTGACAACTAGATGACGTACGTTTCATACTCAATGGTTGTTTAATTCCTTCGATTAATTGGCTAACATCAAGAAGTTTATGTTCAACGTACATCGAAACTTTAGTTCTATCCCATACAGATGTTAAATTTGCTTGTAAATCATATTGTAATGGAATAATATATGGTGTAGAATTCGGTATTTGCATTTCAGTACGAGGGGTAAGCTGAAACTAGTCAAAAAGAGATTAAAAGACAAGGATTTCGCTTAGGGATAAATGAGAGAAGGGAACTACTCCTTCATTAAAAAAAAATTATTTTAGAAAACATTGAGTTACTCAAAGATGAGAGCTCAAGATGTGTACGGGTACCGTTTTCGTACCCGTACCCGGCCCGACCCGACCCGAGAACGTTTTGCCTGTACCCGACCCGTACCCGACTTATACCTAAAAATTTTCTTATTTTTGTTTTCCAGCTAAAAACTTTCGTTTTTCGGTTGAAGATGTCAAATTATCAGTATGTTCTCAAGTAATTCTTTTTTAAACCGTCATGTATTTTAGCTAAACTTCTGTATTTTTCACTAAAATTTTGTAGGTTTTCCACTAGAATCTTCCGGTTTTCGGATAAATTAAGAAAAAATAGAACCCGTACCCTTAACTGCTCTACCCGTACCACACCCGTACCCGACAACTTCGTACCCATACCTAACCTTCGAGTCGGGTCGGGTTACACATCTCTTCTAATGAGAGCTCAGATAGACAGTAAGAGTATATCCATTTCATAATAGAGTGTCCGTTTAATCTACTCAGATCAATTACTCAAGTATGATAAACCACTGTAGTTTACTGAACTAAAGCCGTTTAACAACTAAAGCGTTTAGGTCTATTTTAACAGTTTCCCCTAGTAAAAATTCTAGACACTTCTTAAAATTAACTTACTAAGATTTTATCCTTTAAGATTTTGATAAGATTTAATGACTCTACTTTCATTCATCCTTTTGTTTTGCTTGCATTCATCTATATAAATAATACCGAAACTATGACTGATTTTACGGTTATTTTTCTTCCAGACTCTGCTAGTACTTGGTCTCTCGAAAGCGTTCAACAACTTTTTAGAGAGTGTACATGTAGGTCAAGGTCCATGGTCGGACACCCGAAAATAAGAAATTTGTCTTCATTCTTCGACACTGTTCAACTGCTGCTTTGAATACTACGGATTAAAAATTCTCAGCCAACTTCGAATGAATACTATTAAAAAAACGTCATCGTTTTTACTATTAAAATCCTAACAGATTCTTATCCAATTTTGGAAAAATCTTAGACAGTATAATCTGATAAGATTTTACTAAGATCTTGGAAAAATCTTAGAATTTTCGAGTCTCACGACCTTAGTAAGATTCGAATAAGTTTCTGACTAGGGTATCTTAATTGGAATAAGCATGTCACGTACATTCATAATAAATGTAGCAAAATTTTATTTCTAATGTGCCAACACAAATAACTTTTTCAAATGTATGCGTGACATGTATTTTTAAGATTACTTTTGGTTTGAATCACGGGATCAGGATATTCAAGAAATTCACTGTCTCGCCTAAACTACTGAGAATTAAGTTCATCCTTAACTCCTATTTTGAAGAGGACACTTGGGATTATCTAACCATGAAGAAAACCCAAAATGTTAGCATTTCATTTTTCTGAAAACTCGCACGATTCTATTTATCTTCGTTTTGTAGTCATTCAAAAAAACATCCGAACCACTCTATTATGAAATGGATAGTAATTAGCTACTGTGAATATGCATGCTGCTGAGTAAATCGATTTTTCTGAGCACTGTAAAGAAGCGAGTAACTATTACCATTTGAGAGTAAAGCAAGAAGAGAAGAAGAAGACTTTGAGTATTTATTATATTTTGAGTACTAAAAGCTCTGTTGAGTAACTATAGTTGTTTATTATACTTGAGTAATGATTTGAGTAAGTTATACAGAGGAAGAATGGGCTGTTCAGTTCAATGTAAAAGAATTCCAAACAACTGCAAAAAAAAAGAGTCAAAGAATTGCTTAGACAGTGAATAAATAGCGCTTCATGTCTATTCAACTAATAACAAAGATAGCTATTCAGTGCTATTTCACATATAAAAAAACTAAGAAACAAACTGGATACTCATGCTCTGAAGACAACATTGAAATATGTAATGTCAAAACCAAAAGTACCCGATGTCAATGTTAATTAGATCGTCGCAATTTTTTTCCGATTTCAGGACAAGCGAAATTATGTAATGTCAGACTATATACTAATAAGCAGTCAAAGTCTAATTGTTTTATCTTTGGAACTTTGTAGAATCTTTAAAGTAGAATAAGGAAAAGATTTGATAGTGGTATGAAGTGGTACTAAGTTCTCATCTCTGTCATATACAGCACAATTAAACAAAATTACATAATTATTCACTAAAATCCTCCATTTCTATTCTACAACAGTTATATACAAAAACATAACACAAAAAACATAACAAAAAAAAATGACTACTAGTAGCATCGAGTTGATTGCACAACTTCAATCGTTGTACAAAATATAGACAAAGAACAGTGAATTTAGTTTTGTAGTTTACTGCAAAACTAAGTTCAATCTTCAATGTTTTTTTTCAATGTTCGAATCTCTATTCGTATAAAATTGATTTTGTGTTTTTAGATAGTTTTAGTTTAGAATACTATAATGGAATATTTTTCTGTTTGTATTCTGACAGAATAAAGCTTATATCAAGAGTTATATCGAACAACGTAGGATAACATTAGCGAACATTACATAGATTAAGAATTTATAAACACACTCACCACAAAGATGTAGACATGTCGATTTGTTCCACAACCTATTGATGGACTGGCACTGCTATTGAAACCATAACCACTTGGAACAGTCAAACACCAACGTACACGCCACAAATGTTGAGGATCGGCATTCTTAACCAATTATTAAAGTGTCAATGAGTATATTCATTTTCTTAATTTTAGAATTTTTATACCTTTTCAAGTCTTATGATTTTAATTAGATCTTTCAATACCTTTGGCTGGATAAATGTAAACAATTTATGTAGTGTTCCGGCAACTGTTCCACGATTTGTTGCTGAATGTAATGATAATAAATCAATTGCCATTGGTAATGGATGTAAACCAAAAAAACGTTCATTGAAAAACGCATCTAATATTTGTAATTCATCATATAACCATAAATGTTGTTGTTGAGATACAGTTTGTGACTGCTCAATAGATAAAAATCTAATTCTGTATGAACCTAAAACGTACACTTTTAGTTTTAAACATTAACTGCTTAAATGTATTCATACCAGATATTTTATCAAATAGAAACTGTAATTGTAGTGCTAGATGTTCCATTCTGTATGTATCTGGTTCATTATTCACGGCACGAACCTAGCAGAGAAAAACAGATAACAATCTTCTCTTTTAGTCTACGATATTTCATTTAATGAACCTACCGTTATATTATTTTGATCAAATGGCTCAGCTACAGCGCGTGCAAATTGTTTTACAATTGTTGATGATGCAAGAAAGAATTCTAATTTTGACCATTGTCGTGAATCAGCGGTATGAAGCATTTTAAAAAATGTTTGCTGAGATAAATAAACTGGAAATGTTGGTTGTGAAAGATGACGGTTATAGCTGTTGATTAATGTGGATGTGATAAACGGTAGTTTACCTTAAATACAGAGAAATAAGAATTAAATCATTTTACAATATTTAAGAGTGATTATGAATTATTAGTACCAGAATCGTTCATATCCTCGCGTGCTTGAGCTAGCATAGAAGCGTTATTATTGTTAATAGTAATAGTAGTAGCCGAAGAAACAGATGGAATAGTCATGCCTGGTGTGCCCGGTGATGGACCAATAAACGATCCTGGAAAAGTATTCCCATGTTGTCGCTGAGATGCCGGACTTGATATTGAAAATGGTATTTCACCTAGATTCGTTAGACAAAATTATATGTAGTGTGATCATTTGAATGGAATATAATAATTACCGTAGAGATTTGCCGGTGATGGTGTTGCAATATTCATACTGCCACTCATTGGTGATGGAGGACCAATACCACTCATCAGTGGTGATAGTGTACCAATTGTTTGAAAATTAGGACTAGGCGCAATAAGCGATATCGGTGGGGAACCTGGTTGAAGTTGTTGATTAATGTTAACAGGTGTTAATGGATTCATCGATGATGTCATAGTTGCAGAAAGACCTGTCATGTTTCCATACAACTGTTGAGAAGATGAAGGTGTTGAGAAGGGTGGAAGTAATGGTTTATGTCTAAAATAATTGAAAAAAACTTGGCTTTACGATTGATTGACAATGTTTATTGGAGTATGTACATTGTAGATGAAGATGCTGAAAAAATGCCTGCATCAGTGAGGAAATCACGATTACAAGACTGTTCGGTTATCTGATCACATTCGTCTATTAAACCGGTATCATCCATATATTCTGCCAAAAATTCCTGTTTAAATGGAGAAAAAAATATAGTCATTGAATGATGAGAGATGAAGGATAATACCATACTTTTAAATGTGGTATGGGATTAAAATCGGATGATGCACTGTTTAATTGTGTATTATAGTATCCATCACGAACAAGTATAAGATTTGCACCACATATTTGAATGTCTAATACAAAATAATTCCAAAAATATAAACGCCATCTTCTGTCAGTATAGGGTACAAATGCTAATATGGATTGTGCGGTACCACCCTACAAAAAACATTTTTAACAACCAGTAAACACCCACAGGATCTTTTTCTCATTTATGGCATTATAATGCGCCTGTCGTAATGTCTTGTAATGTGTTAGGTTTTTTATTGTGTTACAGTGCGATAAATTTAGAAAAAACATGTCTTTAATACATGTAACGCATTAGCGTAACGCGTTACGTGGAAAAAATTGCCAATAAATTGAAATTACAGTGTTATAATACATTTTTATCAACGACTTTCTCATATTTTATAACGTTACAACGCTCTAAATTTGACTAACGTGTTGATATTTTGTATACTGTTACAAGGCGTTACTAAATTCCTATCGCATTATAACGCGTTACAGGTTAATGTATTATACCGCTATAATACCTAACAAGTTATAACGTTATAAATTTATGGCATTGCAATGCATTAACTGTTCAGGCGTTGTGACGCTATACGCGATAGTAATAATAGGTGTGGTGTGCGACTTTATCTCCTAAGTCTCAAGTCAGTAACGTATATGACTGATATAGTTGAGGTAATTTTTCCCGGACCAACTTTTCGAGAGGAATCGATTGACAGTCTCAGAGTTTTATGGAAATGTATCTTTTACGAGAAAACCATGTATTCTCGTTTTGCATATTGTCTAACTCGTTATAACGCATAAATATCTAATGTGTTACACCGCGTTCGATTTTCTTGTCTCATTGCAATGAGATAGAACAGAATAATGCATTGCAATCTATTAGATATTAACTCGTTACAATACCATATGTATTATTTAATGAGTTATAACTCTATAAAAGATTTTTCCAAATTTATGGCGTTATAATTGGATAAAACATCTAAGGTATTATAACGCATTATATTGAAGTAAAAAATCCAAACGCGTTATAATACATTAGAATCTAACGTATTATAAGGCGATAGAGAAATCTAATGGCTTTATAACGAGATAAAAAATTCAAACGCATTAAAATGCTATAAATTTATAGAGTTGTAATGGAATGGAAATTTTTATTCAGTTACAATGCCATAAATTCCTGAAAAATAACTTTGCAGCGCGTTATAACACGACGGACTACGTCTGTCGCGTTGTAATGAGATAAATCTATAGCGTTGTAATATCATAATTTAAGAAATAGCATGTTTTATAGCGTTATAACGCTATAAATAGGGAAAACAGATCCTGTGGTCATCACATTAAAAAATAGCATGTACATACATGGCCAGCTAAAATGATCGGTCTGTTGAATGAATCGAGTCGACATATTGATGCGACTGGAAACACAGTCATATGAAGAATCTAAGAAGAAAAAGACGCATACTATTTAATTTCTAGTTTTTCGAAATTAGATATACATCAGTTATTGTTATTCGTCGGTTAACTATAATCATGGAAACTGTAAAACTATAATTGCTCATACCGAACTGATCCTGATCATGATTGTCAAAAAAAATTTTTCAGGAAAAGAAAAAAGTCAATTTGAGTATTTGCAATAGACAGAAGTTTAGAGGATGTTCATTAAATCGGAATGAATTATTAAGAACGACTATATTAGGGCGAAAGTCTTAAATGTCTTTTTTATGTTAGAGTACAATGTTCACATTTAGGCGTTGTTCCGATTATACAAATCATTTCAGCTTATGTAATTCACTTCTGCTCTTTTTTATACATGTCACTGACGCCTAAATACGAACATCGTGCTCAGAAAGACTTTCGCGCCCTACTATAGTCGTTCTTAATAACTCATTCCGATTCAATGTACATTGCCCACAATTATGTCTATTCCAAATATTCAAATTGTGTTTGTTCTTTTCCTAAAAAAAAATAAATTTTTTTCACAACTACGATCAGGGCCGTAGCCAGGATTTTTGCGAAAGGGGATCGACTTTTTTGCCTTCAGAGATAGTGTGAAGTCTTTGTCAACTAGCAACTTTTTCTGACGGGATTCAGTGGAAAAAAATCATTTTTTCAAAAGTCAAGGGGGGGAATCCCCCCTCCCTCTGGCTACAGCCCTGACTACGACTAGCTTCGGTTATAAGCAGTTATAATTTACAGTTAACTGTAACTGTTGCATATCTATTCGAAATTATATCTTACTTGAATGAGTTTTTTAAAGGAACGTTTTTGATTCAAATATGGCAGAAGTTTTGTATTCAATACTTGATGTGTATTTGATAATAATGTATTTGTATTATTAATAAAACGCAATTCAAAACTACCCGTATTACTATTTTCTTGAACATTTTGACTTGACATACTGTTATAAGATACGCAAACCTATAAAATGATGACAAGAAAAATTCTCATATGTTACTCTCATGTGTTAATTTAAACAAAATAAATACTTACTCCAAATAAAAAATTGGGTCCATAATTGATTATACATTTAAAAAAATTAAAATAAGATAGTTCGGATATTGAACGAAGATATCTAGACTCTAAACAATGTGACTTTTATTAGACTTGAGAAAAAAAGATTTAAAAAAGTCAAACCTTGTAATGACATGAAATAATTTTCAAATAAATTAGTTAATTCAAATGCTGAACGCAATTCATTACGTATGTGATCAACAACTTTTGAATAGGCTTTCGATGATATATGTGTACACATCACAGTCGTGTTACAGGGTGCTGAAACAAAAAAAAAAAACAATTAGAAATTTATCTGTCTTTTTTCTTCTTCTTCTTCTTCTTCTAGTCTAGAAAGACAACATTTATTGTTTTTACTTTTAACAATAACTTATCATGTTTTTTGAATTTTTTTTCTTCTCGTACTAACCCTAAAACGTATGAAGGTACGTAAATTCTTACTTTTTATATTTGAATTTTCAAAATAATCTTCATTCATTTTTAACTTAAAAATAAATAAAAATGTTCACATTTATTTGATCATATATAATAGTATTATACGTACGTGTACAATCCAGAATCGTTCAATATTTTGTTTTGAATTAATAATAGTGTCACGTAACGTATATGTTAAACGAATTGTACAAGTCTGTAAACGTGGCCAAAAACATTCTGATATATAGCCGAGTAATTCTTGATTCAATAATGGATCTTCTTGATTAGATAAACTTTAAATGAAGAGAGAGAGAGAAATATTTAAGATAATATATAAAATAAAGAACTTACCGGACAATATCTATACAAGGAATACCTGTCCATGGACTATACGTGATACCTCTACAAATGACTTTCTTTCGGAGAAGCTAAAAAATAAATAATAATAAATTGATTTTAATTTTAAAATATTAATTAATTGATTAATTCTAACATACTTCATCTTTAAGGAATGTAAATGTTAACATTTCATCATAATAATTAACAAGCTTTAATAATAACTTTAACGAAATGATGGATGTCTAATAACAAATAGACACATAGTTAAATTATTAGTATTATAAAATTTTAAAACATTTACGACTGTAATACCCTTCACTTTGTTGAACATAATTGAGAGTTTAATAATAAAAAAATGAAATAGAATTGTTAAAACTACAAATTTAATGGTCATTGTCAAGTAGCAGATGTTAAATTAAAGTAATATTTAGCTAAATAGATATGCATGTGTCAATCCATTTTCTATACATACAAAATATACTACCAAAAAATTAGACAATTTCTGCTTATCGAACTGAATAATTTTGTGAGACATACTTCTGATCTCTCGTCAACTTTCGACTTTGTTGTTATTTTTTCTAATGCTCAAAAACTACAAGACCAAGTAATCATCCCCAGTCAGGGCGATAAACCTTCTAAAATGCAACATTCTGTATATATTTGACAATGATCATATAAATAAAGTCAAAAATTTATATTTTTAACAATTGTTTAATAACTCTTCATTATGTTTAACAAAGCGAAGGGTGGTATTACAGTCACATATGTTAAAATAGACACATTCTTCTGTCTCAAACATACTGATCGTGCACTTTTCATTGGATTTTCATCTTCTATTGTTTCTTTCTGTTTATCATATTGAAATGTTTTCATCTAGAATTAAAACAAAAAGATGACTAGAAAAGATAAAAAAAATTTATTTAAATTCAAATTTACCGATAATGTATCTTCTTGTATGAATGTTGTAGGATCTAGTGGACATAGTAAAATTGGTTCTAATATCCATTTTGCTGGTTCATCTACTGATCCTGATAGATTTTGTTGAATAATCATTTGTTGTTGTTGTTGTGCCATAACTGGATCAGGAGTTAATGAACGTTTTTCCACAATTAATAAATAATATTGTACTAACAATTGATTAACATCTGATACATATACTAACTAAAAGAAGAATAAACAAAATATATTTAACTATTTGAATAAATGATAATTCTAATACGAACAATATAATAGCCTTCATGATGAGCTAATTCAATATAAACAGTTTTATTTGTAAATTGTATAACTAATTCATGTTTTGGATTTAATGATGGTAAATGTGTATATATACGACAATTCAAATGTGTGACTAATGACTTAATACGTTGTTGAATAAGCCATATTCTATCGAGAGATATAGTTCATAGTTTAATCTATGAAAATCAAATAAACAATAAGATTAAAACATACTTTAATAAATTAATTGATTCAGTTAAATTTGTCTGATCTCTATTTAATGAATTTTCAATTTGTTGAGAATAACGAGTTTCTAAATAATAATAAAAATATTTTTTTCAATTTAATCTATTTTTAATAACATAAATAACATACCCATATAGGAGACAACTTTGAAAATACCACTTAATGGACTAATTAAAATAAATAAAATTTCTTCTGATGTACTGTTCGGTAATAATTCACATTTTAAGGCAGGAATTACTGAATCAATTTCAACTAAACATTAAAATAAGAAATAAATTAAAATTAGTCTACAAATTTGACTATCGTACTTACTAACAGCCGATGTTATTGATAATATTATTTCTTTTAACTCCTACAATCATCAATAATAATAAATAAATTATATTTTGAAAAATCAATTATAATTACTCACTTCAAAACGTCTTTCACATCGAGCATAAATTGTTTGATTTAAAATTTCTTCCATTGTAAATATTTTTTTCTAAAACAATTAATTATTCTCAAAAAAAAATGAAAAAAAAAAAGTGAACACCTTCATATCAAGTACATAGCACATACCTCTAATATTTTATCAATTGCTAAACTATCTTTGATTGATAATGGTGGAAAATGGCTAATTTGAAATTTGGCATCATCATTACAAATAATTGTCATTCGAATATCTAGAATAAAAGATATGATTCACTTAGAGTTATTGTTGGTATTTTTTCATCTGATAGATGTTATACATACCACTTCGTGATTGAACATTTGATTGTTGTTGTTGTTGTTGTTGTTGTGGTGGTGGTGGTTTCTTTTGAATGTTATTACTATGAACATAATCTTTCCAATATTCAATTGTCAAACTTTTGCATGCTACATATTCAGATATATATAAATGATTTTGTTTAGTAGCAGTTCTGTCTCGTATACGAAATGCCTAGAAATAATACAAAATAAAAATTATAATCTTAAAACTTGATATTAACTACAATCGATTCTTAATGAGAATAAACTTTTTTTTTCTACGAACATACAATTGGTAAATATATCTATTTTTTTTGTTTATTTTTTTAGAGAATATGACAAATTTAAAAATTGACACTAATTTACTAACAGTTTTGAGTTGAACAGTTGACGCAATAAGAATATTTTCTCTTAAAATTGAGTAGATTGTGGAGTGGGAAATAGAAATTCAAGTAAGAAGTACAAAACTCCAACGAAATGCAACGAAGAATAAACAGGTCGAAAGCTCGGTAAATCAGTGTAGTACGTTAACTTCACTAAAAAATGCATTTTGTTGGAGTTTTGTACTTCTTACTTGAATGTTTTCTCTTGTTTTTTGATTAAAAATAAAATAAAATAAAGTACTCACTTGTTCAGTCAGAATTTGTAAACGTAATGATTGACAAAACGAATCTTTTATAAAGTTAACGAAATAATAAACCTTTTTTTTTATATATACTTAATCGAACGTTTTACTCTTAATAAACTAATGCAGAGTATCAATGATTAATGAACAAGTCATTAACGTTTTGTTTGATACTCTTTTGCAGAATTTCTCAAAATTTGTTCTATTTATCAAATTAAAAAGGATACGTAAATAACGATATAATTCAACAAGTGGATTTTCTGATTCAAATAGCCAACTTTGAACAAAATTTGTTAGTGCTTGAATCTACACAATGCCATAAAATACATTAAGAAAAATCACAAGTATTTTATATTATATTTGTATGTTACCTGTAATGGATGTACAAGATCTTGTTCTAAAAGTTAAAAAAAAATACTTATATAATTGTCAAATATTTATAAACAAAACAATATTACCTGGTTCTTCTGGATCACGTAAGAATAAATTGATTTTATGTAATTGCCATGATGTAAATAAATTGTCACTCGTAATTCCTAATTTAACTTGAAATTCTCCATCAACACCTAATGTTACACGACCGTTGTCTGTTTTAAAAAAAAAAGAAATAAAATGAGAAAACATAATCATTTTAAGGGAGAAAATGTACTTACTTATTGTCACATTAGTAAATTGTAATGGCAAATCTGTCATGGCTAATCTTGCTGCTAAGATACTGCTGAGACGTGGTAGAATTTCTTGTCGTTCTTGTTCTGTGGCAGACGTGTATGGTGTTGTTGCTTCCTTAATAGAAATAAATTCCAATGAACATAAACGAAGGAATTAATTGTAAAAACGAACCGAAATACGTTCTGGTAAAAAGTTCACTGTACCAACAGTAAGAGCATCAACTGCATCTGTAATCGGATAACTTGGTAATCTAAAAGACAATGAAAAAGTTATACATCACATTTCACACGAATTTCAGTCTCTCACGTATTTATTATTTCAAAGTAAGGTGCGGGTAATTCAAACTTCAAGCAGATTTTAGATTTTTTTGAAACACACACCGTTCGATAGAGCTTGAATAGCTCTACAAGGATATCGCCTTTAAAAGTTTTTTCGAGC